ACCATGCCAGGAATGTGTGCCCAGTTTAGGACAAGCATAGAGAGTATTTTCCTCTTTGGCTATGGCAAGATTCAGAAGAGTCGGATGGTTGTTTGTACCCCAAATTTCTTTTTCTTTTTTTTCAGGGGGGAGACCAAGCTGGTTTATTATTTCCAAATCTTCAGCAGTGTTCCAGGTTGGCAACCACTCCCCTCCCTCTTGTCTTTCTTTCTAAAAATAGCCCTTAGCATCTTCTTTGCCATCTTCGTTCTTTCTCTAGCTCTTCTGTGTGTCCCATTTGTTCTTGTCCTCGTCTTTCTAGACATAGGGAAACCATCTTACCTACATAAAGACACTGCCTTGACGTTATCTTACCTATATGAAGATCATACCTAAGAATATTTATTTATTTTTTATTTCAGAATATTATAGGGGTACAAACACTTTGGTCACATAAATTGCCTTTGCACTGCCCTAGTCAAATCTACAATCGTGTCCATCCTCCAGACAGTGTGCAGCTCACTCATTAGGTGTGAATTTACCCATCCCCACTTCCCCCTCCCACCTGCCCGATCCCCAATGGATGTTGCTTCCATATGTGCACTAAGTGTTGATCGATTAGTACCAATTTGATGGTGAGTACATGTGGTGTTCGTTTTCCCATTCTTGTGATACTTCACTTAGAAGAAAGGGCTCCAGCTCCACCCAGGATAGTACAAGAGGTACTAGTTCACCATTCTTTATGGCTGAGTAGTACTCAATGGTATACATATACCACATTTTATTAATCCACTCATGTATTGATGGACATTTGAGTTGTTTCTACATCCTTGCAATTGTGAGTTGTGGTGCTATAAACATCTGAGTGCAAATGTATTTTTTATAGCATGTCTTTTTTTCCTTTGGATAAATACCCAGTAGTGGGATTTCTGGATCAAATTGTACCCCAAATCTATAAGATGTCTTTAGTGATGATGTAGGTAGGGTTGAGAACTGACGAACAAGTAGACTGAGAGCAAAAGAAATGCAGATCGCTTTACATTAGTAATTTCAAAATCCAAAAAAATAAAATTATTTTTAAATGAGTAAAACAAAGGCTACATCTTAAAAAATAGACTTTGCTTTTGAGAGCAGTTTTAGGTTCACAACAAATTTGAGCAGAAAGTACAGAGAGTTCCCATACAGTGCCTTTCCACACACACTTACACAGCCTCCCCCACTGTCAGCACCCCCCAGAGTGGTACATTTGTTACAATCCATGAACCTACATTGACATGTCATTATCACCCACAGTCCAAGGTTTACACTAGCTTCACTCTTGGAGTTGTACACTCAGTGTATTTGGACAAATGTATAATGACACAAATCTACTACGATAGTATTATACAGAGTAGTTTCACTGTCCTGCATACGCTCTGTGTTCTGATTCCTCCTCCCCCCAGCCCCTTGCAATCGCTGATCTTTTCACTGTCTCCATAGTTTTGCCTCTTCTAAAATGTTATATAGCTGGAAAAGTATGTAGACTTTTCATATTGGCTTCTTTCATTTAGTAATATGTATTTAAATTTCTTCCATGTCTCTTCATGGCTTGATAGCTCATTTCTTTTTATTGCTAAATAATATTCTATTGTCTGGATGTAACACAGTTTATTTATCCATTCACCTGACATCTTGGTTGCTTTCAAGTTTGGGGAATTATGAATAAAGCTGCATAAACAGTTGTGTGCAGGTTTTCATGTGGACTTAAGTTTTCTTGGCGAATACCAAGAAGTACGATTGCTCAATTATATGGTAAGAGTATGTTTGGCCGTAAGAAACTGCCCACTGTCTTCCAAATTGGCTGTACCACTTTGCATTCCCACCAGTAATGAATGAGAGTTTCTGTTGCTCCATATCCTCACCAGGATTTAGTGTTGTCAGTGTTTTAGATTTTTGCCGTACATGTGTAGTGGTATCTCATGGATGTTTTAATTTGCAATTCCCTAATGACATGTGATGTTTAGCATATGTTAATATGCTTATTTGCCATCTGTACCTCTTCTTCAGTGAGGTCTCTGTTCAGATCTTTTGCCCATATTTTTAATGGGGCTCTTTGCTTCCTTATTGTTGAATTTTAAGAGTTCTTTGTACATTATAGGTAACAGTCCTTTGTTAGATGTGTCTTTTGCAAATATTTTCTCCCCATGTATAGCTTATCTTCTCATTCTCTTGAAGTTTCTTTTTCAGACCACAAGTTTTGAATTTTAATGAAGTCCAGTTTATCAATTATTTTTTTATGGACCATGACTTTGATATTGAATCTAAAAAGTCATCGTGATACCCAAGGTTATCTAGATTTTCTCCTTTATTATCTTTTAGGATTTATATAGTTTCATGTTTACCTTTAGGTATTTGACTAATTTTTACTTAATTTTTGTGAAAGGTATAAGGTCTGTATCTAGACTGATTATTTTGAATGTGTATATCAACTTGTTTCAACCCTGTTTGTTGAAACACTATCTTTTATCCATTGTATTGCCTTTGCTCCTTTCTAAAGGTCAGCTGACTATATTTGTGTGGGTCTATTTTGGGCTCTCAGTTCTGTTTTGTTTACGTATTTGTTTCTTCTTTTGCCAATACCACATTATTTTGATAACTGTAACTTTATAGTAAGTCTTGAATTTAGGTAGTGTCAGTTCTCTGATTTTGTTCTTCCCCTTCAATATTGTATTGGCTATTCTGGGTCTTTTGCCTCTTCATATAAACTTTAGAACCAATTTGTAGATATCTACTTTCTTATAATTTTTTAAGACTGGACATTTTAAATATTGTAACATTCTCAAATGTTCTCAAAATCAGATCCTCCCTTCCCTGGGTTTGCTATTATGAATTTCCTCAACTAATTTTCTGAAGTCTGTATCCTTTGTCATGGCCACTGAAGTCTCTAGTCAATTAATTTTGTGGTCAGCAAATAATTGGATAGAGATTTCCTTAATACCCTGAACCAATATGTCTCACAGCCTTGCCATGGGGCTCTTTGTGCATGTCACACTATGGTTTCCGTGCTCCAGCAGAAAGTTGACAGTTCTGCCTGAGCCATCACCTCCTATTTATGCACATTATCAAGGTCAGCCAAAGGTGGAAGATTAGAGCCTAATCTTCCAAACACCAAAAGAAACAGAGCCACTTCACAGAGTAGTAAATAGAAGAAGACACAAGGAGAATGTTGGACTCTTTAAACCATATGCACTCATAATTGTGAATTTTTTTGTAGTAATCAAGTAAAACAAAACAATAAGGGTATTTGCAAAGAGAATTTCATGAAAATTAGGTTGCAAAGGGTTTAAAAGTGAATGAAATTGAGGATGTTATCAACAAGTTAAGCAATAAAGGAAAGGGGAATGTGGGGGTAGTTAGTATAGTTACTTGATGGGAAGATGGTATTGAAGGAAGATTGATAGTTTGCTTGATCATGGTTCTTGGGTAGCTAGCTAATTGGTTAGTCCATTTGTTTAAGACAAGAATGGACTTAAGGAGAAGCAAGCAATTGAGAGAGATGCTGAGGTGAGAGGGAATAAATGAGATATTAAAGTCCCAGATGCAGTAGTGGATGTTGAAATCAAAAACAAGGATATAGGAGCTGGGCATGGTGGCTCACACCTATAATCCTAGCATTTTGCGAGGCCAGGGCAGGGGGATTGCTTGAGACCAGGAGTTGAAGACCAGCCTAGGCAACTTATCAAGACTTCATCACTACAAAACATAAGAAAAATCAACTGAGTGTGGTGGCATGCACCTGTAGTCCCTACTACTCAGGAGGCTGAGGGAGGAGGACCACTTGCGTCCAGGATTTGGAGGTTGTAGAGAGCTATGATGATGCCACTGCACTCTACCCTGGGCAACAGAGGGAGACCCTGTCCTCCCTGTCAAAAAAGGGATAAAGGGTTAGCTTTGAAAAAGTAAAGGACCATCTTTTACTGTAAGGCAGAAAAGTGGCAGGACAAATGATTTTATAGATACAATTTATGATGGCAGAAATGATTATTAAAAGAATTCGTGTCTAATAGCTTATATTTTTTCACTGGCAACAGTGGCTATGTCTTCTGTTGAGGGATCGGGTCTTTTTGATGGTCTGAGATTGGGAGCCAACCAGAGGGGGAAAAAAATGAAAGGAGTGCTGGTAGCAATTTTGGGAGCCCAGCGAAGGGTGAAAATCAGAGTGTATGTATTAGTCAGCATGGGCTGCCATGTCAGTACCACCGACCAAGTGACTTAAAAACAGACATTTCTTTTCTCACAGTTGTAGAGGCTGGAAAGCTAAATATCAAGGAGTTAGCAGGGTTTGGTCCCTGGTAAGGACCCTCTTTCTGACTTGAGAGTTTGTCTTCTCTCTGCGTCCGCATATGGCAGAGAGAGAGGGAGCTCTCTGGTGTCTCTTTATGTAAGGACACTAACTAATCCTGTCAGATCCCTATGACCTCATTTACCCATAATTACTTCTTTACTCCAAATATAATCACATTGGGAGTTATGGCTTCAACATATATGTTTTGGGGAATCAGTCCATAGCATTTATAATTCAGCACCGTAATGGGAGTTGTCTTTATACTTATGCCCAACTGCCTGAGAGCAGGAGAGAAGACAGATGGTTGAGTTGGTCCATATCGTGGGATTAGTAGTATAAACTTGATGGAAGTTCAAGGTGGCAAATGAATTGAGGGGCTGGTAAAAGTATGGCTGAAACAATTGGCCATGGGTTCCAAGAATGGTGGAAAGAGAAATCAGAAAAGGGCTGGGTTTACATTACAGAAGGGGCAGAGATTGACAGGCTTGATGGTAGAGTCCTCCCAGATCAGGAGGCTGGAGCACAAATGGAACTATTTTATAGTATATCTTTTCCGTGGGTGCGGTCTGTCTTGGGACATAATTGGCTGTTTCTGTACTTTCAACTTTATTGAAGGAAATAAAGGAGGATTATGAAACTGGAAACAAGATTTAGGTTCATTAGTGGTAATAATCATCACATTTTTCTTTTATTTTAGACGGCTAAATACATTGAACAAGTGTGCCTCAATGAAACTTGATGTGAACTTCCAAAGGAAAAAGGTAGGTGTCCATACCTTACTGAGACCGTGGCTATACCAAAAGAAGCAGCTTGCATTCACAGATGAAAAACAACATGAACATAAGCAAAATTCTGCAATGCCTGACCACCTATGTTTTCTCCAAATTGCCCATCTTATCATAACTGTCATCAAGAAATCCATTATAAACCCAGGCTGAGATCTGTTTGTTTCGCTGTTTCATTTTGCTTTAGTTTTGGGTTTTTGTGTTTTTTTTTTATCAGAAGGTTTGCATAAAGATGTAAAATATCTCAATTCTTTATGGTAATCTTTCAGAATTTTGTTAGTTGTAAATGTCAACGCCATATTAGACTCAAATACTTCACAGTGATGAGTTAATTAAAAGAGTTGAGAAGGGATCTGTGGGTCCCTAGCAAGTGTCTTCTGGTTCATTCTTTCCTGTAACATTTTATTTCAAGCACATGTCAAGGGTACCTCATTCTCAGGTAGGTTCATTTGCTAATAGCACGAGGGTGCCTGGGGACAGTGTGACAAGAAGACACCTCATCTTTCACCATTTTCCCCCCTCACACTTTTCTCTAGCCATAAGGAATTCAGTTCACTCTGAAAAGTACTATGCTCCTCCAAAACCCCAATGGGGCTTTGTGTGTGCTGCTCTCTCTGTATGAATAAGACTGGAGATTTCAGTTTTGAAATAAAGCTATGCTTTATTGAGTACTTACTGTTCTCCAGGAGCTAGGTTATGTACTTACCATACATTATCTTATTTAATCCAGGTAGGGCTTCTCTGCTTTCCAGATAAGGAAAGTAAACCTTGAACAGGCTGAGTTGTTTGCCCACGATCTTTCAGCCAGTGGCGGAGCAGGGTTCAAGCTCAGGTGTGTCTAAATCCAAAGCTAAGGACCCTCTCCACCATGCTATACTGCCTCCCTTTCTCACTGACTTGGGCCTTTTTAGGAAATTCAGAGTTAAGATCGTTAACTACTTTTTTTATTTAACATCTCCACTATGTAACAAGTCAAGCCCCAGTATATTTTGAAGGAGCAGAGAAAACATCTTTGAGTTGAAAGAAAGATTTCTTTATTCTGGTCTACACAGAGAAATCATTAAATCCAGTGGATTTTAAGTCATTCCTGAGTAACCTAATCTTTAAAAATAACTTTAACCTGAATTTCTGTTCTAAAATAGCACTAAACAATTCAAATGAATTTTGTTGGACCTCACTTTTAAAAAAAAATTGGGGATTTGAGCTAGGAATGAAAGATTGAAACTAAGGAGGTAAAAGGGTGAAAAACAATATCTAGAGAAATATTAAAACATGAGCAATTTGTCCAGGCCAAAGACAAATTAAAAATGTGGGAATAAACCTCCCAACAGCTGTCTGGCTGAATGGACCCCTTGAGAAGCATACATACTATTTGAAGCATGAGGGTCAGATGTTGTTTTGATTGGAACACATGGTTCTTATTAAACTGAACACAGCCATGCCTGTGTGTCTAAAGTGTGGGCCCTCAAATGGCCGGTCCATACAGCTGCCTATACTGAGCATTAGCCGCAGCGGATCACAAAAGAAAATGCCAAAAACTAATGACATGAGTTGTTTTCCACAAAGAGGAGAGATTGGATTTTTACACTGTCACCAGCTTTTCAAACCCCACAGGCGAGATAGGCTTGAATAACATTTGTTTGGCTCTTTATACATCACCTTCACAAAAGCACCTCTGCAAATGGGTCACTTTGGTCCCTCGACCTTCTTAATGTATTCCTTATATCGGATCCAGTGGCATACCCCCTCAGAGCCCCCACTTAGCTATAGGCCTCACAAATGCATGCACTTGAATAAAATATTGCTTTCACATTGTTAATTGGAGAGTCGTGGCCTGAATTTTCTAAAAAATAATTCCAGCATGTCATCTTCACCAGGTGAGTCTCAGTAATGACCAGCATCTGTGGCCGGATCTAAGTAACGACACAGGAGGTGCTGCGTGGTGGCACCCATTTCTGTGACGTGCCCCTTGCACAAGTCATAGGCTAGTTCTTTATTTTACTGTAAAAAAAAAATAGAATAAATGAATAGCAGGTAAGACTAGGCCAGATGATCAAAAATAGAAAGGAAACGTGTGAGCCAAGCACCCTGGGATATTTCAACAAACTTTGAAATTCGTTTATTTGGAACAAAAACAAGACAACAGCATTTCCTCTATGTATGTCCCCATTTTAAGTGATCCAAAAAATAGAATCCTTATCTCCAATCTGCAGAGGCCTGGATTTATTTAATTCTGCAGAAAGTTGTCCCCAGATGGTACAACTGTCTGAGGTCACAGTTGTTCTTCTCCCTTTGGGGCTGTTGGGTCTAGGAAGGGGCTGCATGTCTTGCTCAGCAGTTTGGTCGGCAAACGCTGACACAGGGCTTCCTCCCTGCCAGGCACTGCACCCCGTCATTAACAACGCATCACAGATGCAGAGACTGAAGGGCTCGGGCACTTGCCCAGAGCCACGCAGAAATGGCAGAGCACAGCTGACTTGAATCCAGGTAACCTGGCCCCACGCTGCCCCTCCTCACGTTTCAAAGATACTCAGAGACGGCCTGGAGCCTGAGTGAGCTGGCTCTCGTTCTGAGACCCGGGAGGGGCTCGTGTTTCCCCAGCAATACATTCAGTGCATTATTCGTACTGTTGTTTTTACAAGAGCGATGTTTTTTGCCATCTTTACTAAAGTCCACAATTCATTTACTGTCTTCATGGCTATTTTATTTAATTCTGAAGATTTGGATGGGCTGACCCAAGGAAGAAAGTGAAAAGTCCACAAATAGGTGAGGATGGCGAAGCCTTCTTCATGCTCGGTTAGGCGTGTGCTTTCCTTGTACATTAAACGTCGCTTGTAAAGCACCTGCAGCCGTGAGTTTGCACCGGTCCTCCCACAAGGTAGTTCCTAACCATTTTGCAGAGGAGAAAAGTGGTCCTTTAAGGATTCAAGATTACTTTCCCTGCGTGAGATCCAAGATCACCTCGCCCTCTGTGAGAGGCAGGTGAAGCGCATTCTCGATCTTGGCCATGCGCCTCACTGGAAGACTGGCTAAAACCCAGCCAACAAGCATTTCTGGAGAGCCTGAGGACACAGCGGGTTGGGCTCCTCACTCCGGCAACATTCCAAGTGGCCCATTCCTGCTTCCCAACAGGCGGGCTCAGCCACTTAGCTCCAGTGAACTTCCTACATGTCTGTGTAACTACAGATAAGCCGCCTTTCGCAGCTGTGGATCCGTGTGGGTTCCTGTTTCCAGCGTAAAGATACAGCCAAGCTCCATTTAAAAAAAAAAGCCCTTCTTTTTGGAATGTCTGGTTGGCATCTGTCTCTAAGGAATATATAATTTCAGTGAAGAATGTTCTCATTTTTAGGAAAAAAAAAACAAACATTAGAGGCTCATCTAAACTAAAAACTCCAAGGCGCACACACAAAGCTGCTCATTCTCAGAAAAATGGCTCTTCTTCATTACCTACAAAATCCGCATTTGCTTCATGATGACATTGAAATCCCCTGGTTATGGTTAGTGTTTGAGAGCAACCTTTGTTCAAAGGAAAAGTCGGAAACTAAAGACTCCAATAAGTCTAACTATTAAATGAGGAAAGAGAAGGACACATACCCACACAGGACTCTTGCCGTTCCTCTTACCTAAGAAGATTTCCCCAGAGAGAAAGAGCAACTTCCAAAGAAGGTCCTGGTTAAAGTCACAGTCTTAATAAGGCTCTCTGAAATCATGACCAAAGGTGGAAAGCAACATAGAAACCGTGACTAATTGCCACCTTGCAGCCAGCACCTCCTGGCATTTCAGAGGCTCTGCAGCTGTTGACAAGGGGCCTGGCTTCCACCCCAGCCCCCACCACCTTGCACACTCGGCATCTCCCACCAAACAAGACACCTCCTGGCAGCTCCAAACAGCTGAGTCAAATGAAAGAAAAACTGCATTTTATTCCATCATTCACTTGGCTGGAAAATATTAACAGTCTTAAATTGCAGATAATTACATGTGAATGTCCTAGAAGCGTAGGATCTTTGAGTTGGATCTTTGGTCATGTTTTCCAACTTCCCACCCACTCACTGCAAGATTTACTTCTTGGAGCATCCCTTGTAATTCAGTCAGCCTCTTTGTGGTAAATCCTTTATGTCTCAGGGCAATTTATTTTATTCTATATACTAGAAAATCTTCTATATAATAAGCTAAAAGCTGATTCATTGTAAACTGGCCGATATGATCCTCGCTCTTTTTCCTCAGGAGAAGCACAAAATAAGGGTTTCCCCTTTCACGCGGCAGCCGTTCAGCTCTGTCCTCCAGAGCAGGCGTCAACAAACGACTGCTCTTGCTTTGGTAAATAAAGTTTTACTGGAACATAGCTATGCACTTTCTTTTTGAGACAACAACAGAGTAGTTGTGACAGAGACCTTATGGCCCATAAACCTAAGATATTTACTCTCTGTCTCTTTACAGAAAAAGTATTTTTATCCCTGCTCTGTCTAGAACAAAGTCTCCCAAACTGTGGTGAATGACCAGTTTTGTTGTTTTATTTTCACTTTCCAGTCTACCATAGACCAAGATACTTTTGTGAAACTCAATACAAAGGAATTATTAAGATGTATGAATTTTTTTTAATTGTAGAAAATACAGACCTTTATGTTTTATTGTTAAGCTCACCTAAATGATACAAAAGTATATTCCAATAAATATAATCAAAATAAATATGAGAAATAGAAAAGAATTACAAAAAATGTTCACATTTTTTTAAAAGTATGTATATACATGATTACACTCATACCTTTTTTGTTGTTCATCTGTTGTAACTAAATAAAATTTACTTTGAAATGGCAATCCTTCACATTAAATACCTATATGCCCACTTCAAACACACACTCTGTGAGTATATAAGATTTTTCATGTGACAGTGAGTTTCTTGTTATCTAATTTAGGTAGGATTGACGACAATACTACTCACAGGGAATAATGTGTATCTAAAATACTTCCTTGACTACCAGGCCTCTTAGAGACTAGCCTTACAGAGTATGTTGACTGAATGAAAGAAGATGTTTTAAGGTAATTTGAAAGCTTAGGCTATTCCTTTTTAACTTTCATTCAAAATTTATCTTCAATCCTTTATCACTAGCCAATCCACACAGTTATAAATTTAAATTACCTTTCTGTGAAACAATGGATTCTTTGGGGTTGTAGTAGGTCAACGAACCTTGAATTAGCACATGTTGTAACGTGGGTCTACCATGCATGACTAGTACGCAGCTGTCACCGAATGTGACCCACTATTTAAATTTGACTGCACCCAAACCGGTCTCTACCCTGTTCAGTAAGACAAGTCCACTGATCAAGAGCTTGGATAGCTCAGCCTTGTCAAATGGTGACAAACGGTGTTAATGCTTACTCTCAATTTCTGTATCTAACTCAGGAAAGACTAAGTTTGAGGACCGGCAAGCCCCTGACCACACTTTGAGTAACACTGTCTAGAGTTCCTCATAGTTCCTCAGACTATTAGTTCTTTCAATCATCCATCACAGGAGGTTGTGTTTCCTAGATCTTTGGCCATCCTGATTGCTATTCTCCCAGAAATGCACCCTTTAAAATGTGGCACTTAGAGAGAGCCCATTGCTCCCAATCTATGTGACCAGTGCAGAATACAATGAGCTCTGACATTCCGTGTCCTGGGATCTGTGCTATGGTCATGTATCCTAAGGTTGATGTCTTTGGTAGCCCTATTGCATGGTTAAGTCACATTAAGCTTACATCTTAACAGGAAGGGCTGTTGAACCAAGTCTGTTCCATCCTGCACATCCTATAGTTGACTTTTGAAGTTCATTATATTTTACTGTGTGAAATTTCATCTTATTTATAGGCCATCCTTCAATTCTGTTGAGATCCTTATGTATGTCTATATTGCTATTCTCTAACAATAATAATTAGTTTAAATCTGTCACTTTAGTGTTTATATGGTATTTTCCCTTATCATCTCATTCAGTTCTGTTCATAAACCATGCTAGATGTGTTTGTTATCATTTTCATTTACAGCTGGGAAAGCTGAGTGTCAAAGATCCTTTATTGAATAGCCTTGTGCCACCTTTACTCTTGAAAAACGTGAGTTCTGGCTCATTCAGGTTATTCTTAAAATGGTCATAACCTTGAGGCATGCCTCTGGAGACCCTCCCTCAGTGGGTTACAGTCTTTTGGTCACATGTTTTGGTGGATTCACTCAAACAGTTACTAATAAAACTCTCTGTGACACCCAGCACCATTGGCCATCTTGACCACAGCAAATCACAAGAGCCTGTTGTCAGCTGCTTTCTGAAGTCCTGACATTCTACGTCCACAATATGTCTGTGGTCTACTAAACCATGGAGATAGAGGGATAAAGTTAGTATAAAGTATGTTTTTTTCTGCATAAACAGATCTGATTCCTAGAGAGCTCCATTTTGCATTTCGGAGTAATCACAAATTATTCAATTTTAACCTCAAAAAAATTATCAGACAAATGCAGTCTGATAATCTCTTAGACAGTCAGCACACTCCCACCAATACTGCTGGGGAGTCTGTCCTGTGCCTGATACTCTGCTGTGTCCCGAGTGTACAAAAACACTTAAACTCTCCTGCAGTGTGTTGTTCATACTGTAGAGCATGGCCCCTTGGTGAGTTGTCAAATGAATTTGGTGGGTTACAAATAACATTTTTAAAAAATGAAATATACTAAACCAAACTATAAAATAGCAGAGCACAAATAAATAAGGATAATTATTATAGTATGAAATTTTTTTTGGCTTAATGTAATCTGTATACATTCCCTGAGTTGTGATGGAAAATTGGAAAATATATTTTTTATTGTATGTCACTATCAGTAGTTTGAAAGATCCAGAATTAGTGAAAGAAACAGTCACAGAACCATTTTGATACCCTTTGGGACATACTATGGTAATTGTATGTTCAGGGTGCCAAAGGAAAATTGGTGTTTTTTCTTTGTTTTGTTTTGTCTTTTATTGCTTTGGTTTTTGTTTGTTTGCTTTGGTTCAAATGACCTAAATACTGCAAAATTTTCCTGAACCATTTGTCTTTTTTCCCAGGAGTTTACCACTTTTTCACATGCCATAGTTGGGCTGTAAATATGTTCCTGTTGGCCAAAGCTAGTATTAAGCTCCCAGAGCCCAGCAGACAGGGCCAGGCCTTCCAACCCCAGGCCACAGTGCCTAGCTTGGCATCTTTTCTCAACTGAAATAAAGGAGTCCTTATCCAACTAGTATGTGGTTCGCTAGCATCAGTAACCAGGATTGAGAGAGGCAGTGGAGCCAGCACTAAATATTATAGTTTCTATTTTAAAATATCTGCATTTTCTTTAAAAGCATATCCTTCTCTTACCTTCTCAAACACTGTTTGCTAAAAGGGCTTTTTCTGAATGCTTATGCTAATATCAACTTCTCACTAGCTTCCTAAAGTATAATAAGAAAATCCAATAAACCCAGCCTTCAGCCTATCATGGTGCCTTGTATATAAATGGTCCTCAGATGTGGGTTTTTATTATATCAGCCACAGGGAAGGAGAAAATAGAAAGTCTACTAAGAAAGTATATTTTGAGTCATTGTCCCGGAATCTTGCCTTTTTTCCACTTGTACAATTATAACTTTCTAAACTCTTTCACCAAAGTTTTATACAACTTTTTAAAAACCAAAGCTAATTTTCCATTGTGATCTCAAAGCTATAGAATTCTTTTTTTTGTTTTTTCTTTTTTGTTTTTAAGAGATAGAGTCTCTCTGTTGTTGCCCAGGCTGGACTCCTGGGCTCAAGGGTTCCTATGGCCTCAGGCTCCCGAGTAGCGGGCATTACAGTGCACGCCACCAACCTGGCTTCACAGCTGTAGAATTCTTGTTAGTGACTTGGGTTGTACTTTCCTTCATCTTGTGTTTGAATGTTTGAATTTGTCTAGTTTAGTTCAACCTACATAGAAACTAGATTTTGAAGGAATAAACAAGAATGGGAAGATCCCAAGAATTATTAACTGTGCCTCTGTTTACTTTTCTTGAAAACAGAATATGTTGCCAGGTTAGGGAGAATTAAGGTGGATTCTAGATATATAGACAGATAGATAAGCAAGTGAAGAAACATTGAAAATAACAAACACTCCTCAATAAGGAACTATGAAATGCGTTACCGTATTTAATCCCCTAGACAAACCTATGAGGCAGGGCCTCTTGTAGATTTCATTTTTATAAGTGACAGAAACGTTAGAGAGGGTAAGTAACTTGTAGACAGTCATATAGCTCTTAATAGGTACCACTGACACTTGGAACCAGGTTTTAAAACTGGATGTTCAAGTAGTATAAAATAAACTCAATCTAATTAGAAATTATTATGTACTTGGCACAGGGAAGGAAAGACATATGACTAAACATGTTTTACATGAATAAAACAGAGAAACACAGGCCTTGCCCTTAATGAGCTCACCCCTCTCAAGCTGAAGGCTTCTAAGCTGAAAAATGACATGGTCGTATTTGGACTGCACCATGGAAACTCGTTCAGATGGGGAAGATGCTGCTGAAAAGGATTCTAGACAGGCTTTTACCGTAATAGATCCAGAGAGAGGTGGCAAGGGCCGAGACTAAGGGAATGAGAGCAAAGATACAAATGAGGGCACAGATTTGAAAATCATTTCAGAGTTGGGTCTTGGTGACATGCAGGGGGAGGAGGGGGCGGGAGCTAATAATTCAGTTTATCTCAGAAGAAAGTTATATGTTCTAGGTCAGGTCTGTGCTGGGCCCAGGGATATGCAAAGATAAACGAGGCACTCTCTGGCCTCAGGGAAGGCGGACTCTGATTTCTCAGGGGCTGTGAATTTAGGCAGAAACCAGACGGCTAAGGTAAATGTGTGCGGTGCAAGGTATGAGACAGCGCAAGGTCGCAGGGACCCTTTGCAGCCATGTGGATGTATGTGTCCTGACAAAGGCATTCTGATTTCGGATCTGGCCAAGCAGCACAGCTGAGTGGATACTCTTCAAATAGTGACCCCTAGGACGGCTCCCAAACTGTTACCTAAAGAAATTCAGGAGGTAGTTTTGCTATTCACTTATACAGGGAATACACGATAAAAATCAAGTCTGGGGGACTCAGGTAAGGAGTGTTAGCTCTGAGATATGTTGACGTCAAGGTTCAGAAAAGGGAAGGTGGACATATGGTCCCAGCGGGGCTCGGTGAAGAGGTTTCTGGAAAGAAGTCAGTGCCTTTTATGGTCAAGTTGAGCTTCTTTGTGAAAAAGAGGACTGCAGGTGTTTTATATTTAGACTGTCTAGTCAGATGGTAATTACACCCTCTTTGTAATCAGTTGGAAAACTGCTCAGAGAGGAAGGAAGGATTTAGAAATTCCATGAAAATGGAAAGGAAGAAAGCTTGGCAAGTTGAGAAGAGATCCTCTGGCCACTGGGGTGGAAGCGGATGTATAGGACAGTGAAAGTGGTGGAAGGACGGAGGAGAGGTGCCCAAGAAGCCCAGGGGTACCCGTGCATGGGAGCACCGAGGGGAGGGAGGTGGAAGACCATGCCAGCCTGTCCCCAGCTCACCCGGAGTCCCCAGCTCACCCGGAGTCCCCACCACAGCCACACTGCCTGCAAATGAGCATTTTCCTTGATGTTTTGCAGGGTGACGACTCCGATGAGGAAGATCTTTGTATTAGCAACAAATGGACTTTCCAAAGAACCAGCCGCAGGTGGTCTCGTGTGGACGACCTCCACACACTGTTCCCTGGAGGAGACAGAAATGGGTCGCCGGCAGGCACTGGGATGAGGAACACGACCAGCAGTGAGAGTGTCCTCACAGACCTGAGTGAACCTGAGGTCTGCTCCATTCACAGTGAGAGCAGCGGAGGCAGTGACGGCCGCAGCCAGTCGGGCCAACTCTGCACGGACAGCCCGGTCATGCTGGATGCCCCGCCAGCCAGCAGCGGCCTCCCACCATCCCCCAGAGACGTCCTCCACCACCCTTTCCACCCCAAGAATGAGAAGCCCACAAGGACCAGGGCCAAATCATTTTTGAAACGCATGGAGACACTCCGAGCGAAAGGCGCACATGGAAGGAATAAGGGCTCAGGGCGGACAGGTGGCCTGGTGATCAGTGGGCCTGTGTTGCAACAGGAGCCAGAGTCCTTCAAGGCCATGCAGTGCATCCAAATACCAAATGGAGATCTCCAGAACTTGCCCCCAGCTGCCTGCAAGAAAGGGCTTCCTTGCTCTGGCAAATCAAGCGGTGAGAGCAGCGCGTCAGAGCACAGCAGCAGCGGGGTGAGCACGCCGTGCCTGAAGGAACGCAAGTGCCATGAGGCCAGCAAGCGCGGGGGCATGTACTTGGAGGACCTAGATGTGCTGGTGGGGCCAGCACTGCGGAATGCAGGGGACCAAAGCCACAGGCATGAGTTTCACTCCCAAGAGAACTTGGTGGTGCATATTCCCAAGGATCACAAGCCAGGAACATTCCCCAAGGCGCTTTCTATCGAAAGCCTCTCTCCCACAGACAACAGCAATGGGGTTAACTGGAGGACGGGTAGCATCTCCCTAGGCAGAGAGCAGGGGCCCGGCGCCAGGGAGCCCACGATCACGGCATCCTGCCACAGAGCAAGCCGCGTCAGCATCTATGACAACGTCCCGGGCTCCCACCTGTATGCCAGCACAGGAGATCTTTTGGATTTGGAGAAAGACGACCTCATCCCTCACTTGGACGACATTCTGCAGCATGTCAATGGGCTCCAGGAGGTAGTAGATGACTGGTCAAAAAACGTCCTGCCCGAACTGCAAACGCACGATGCCTTGGCTGGGGAACCGGGTTCATCTCCCTTTCCATCTCCCAATCAGATCACCTTAGATTTTGAAGGTAACTCTGTCTCAGAAGGTCGGACAACACCCAGCGATTTCGAAAGAGACGGGACATCTCTTAATGATGCTGAGGCCCCTGGGGTCAGAGAAAGGAGGGATTCTGGTGTAGGTGCCTCTCTGACCAGGCCGAACAGGTGGGTGGCATGCTTTTGTGAAATGATTTTTCATCCACTTTGTAGTAATTGTGCTTTATTTCTTCAACAGTCATTGATAGAGCATTTACTATTAAAATCAATGCCTGGCACACTGTTCTAAATGATAATATGTGGTTAGGAATTATTTGAACAAAAGTATGCCTTTTGTACAGATACCATGGTGATTGAATCCATGTTGACTCACATTTATTTCTCTGCCTGGTGACCCTGTATTTCGATCTTAGTGGGGTTTTTTTGTTTTTTGTGGGTTTTTTTTTTTTTTTTGGGTTTTTTTTTTTTTTTTTTTTTTTTTTGAGGCAAGGTCTTATTCTGTCACCTGGGCTAGAGTGCAGTGGCGTCATCATAGCTCACTGCAACCTCCAACTCCTGGGCTCAAGTGATCCTCCTGCCTCAGCCTCTCGAGTAGCTGGGACTACAGGTGCATGCCACCACTACGCCTGGGTAATTTTGTGGTTTTTGTAGAAATGGGGTCCCGCTATGTTTGGTGCCCAGGCTGGTCTCAAATTCCTGGCCTCAAGCAATCCTCCCACCTCAACTTCCCAAAGTATTGGAATTACAGGCATGAGCCACCATGCCCAATGCCCAGCCCCCAACCCCCAGCCCAATCTTAGTTTTATTGAAAAAAAATTTTTCAGCTCTTCTGTGCAAGGCATTATGTCAGTCTCTGTACTTGGGGAGTCCTGGATAGCCAAGACCCAGTTCCTATGCACAGGCCCTTCCCATGACCTGGCGACAGTATTGATCAAAATGTCTCTACCCCAGATTTTAAACTTTTTTTAGTTCTATGAGAAATTCCTGTGGCCTACAGTGTGTACTTTGTAAGTTTGGTTTTGCTTTAAAATGCTGATTACAAAGTACATAAAACCTGACTTCATATTCGGAAGCACCCTAGAAAAATGGCCCTGAAAGCACCTAACTAGTAGGAACAGAACCACTGTGCATGCTACTGGGTTTCTGGTTGAGGAGGTGATGTGTCTTGGAGCTCACGGATGTGTCATCATCTGTGCCCGTCACCTCAGGCTCCATCTGTACACCAAACAAGAATTACAGCATAGAGACACAGAAGGCAATGTGAAAATATTCTATAGCCCCCAAACATTTGAGAGGTCTCCCTGTCTCTCTCTCTCTCTCTGGCCTTCTTCTCTCTGTCTCTGTCTCTCTATGTTTCTCTCTCTGTGTCTGTCTCTCTGTCTCTCACACATACACACATACTGTCTCAACTGTTTTCAACACTTTGGAAACAAATTTGGGAATAGACAAATAAAAATTTTTGTGTCATTTATTTAAACCTCCTAATAAAACAGATAATGTGACTTTTTCTGGATTTATCTAACTTGGAAAAAATCATTTGTTATGTTTATGCTGCACATTTGTGTCTTCCGTTCCATTCGCGTTCTGATGTTCTTGGCTCGGAAACTATTTTGATTAAGCTACTTATGTACTGGCAATATCCCGTGTTTCCCGAGACTAAGTCCACTTTGTGACTGGCTTCTCTGACGGTCTTTCTGGTAAAGGCGACTCCGATGGAACAGTTTCCAGCTCTCACACCAACCCCGGCCGGCCCCCGCGTCGCCCCACATCAGCAGCCAGACGGCCAGCCAGCTGAACCTGCTCCAGCGCTTCTCGCTGCTTCGCCTCACAGCCGTCATGGAGAAGTACTCCATGTCCAACAAGCACGGCTGGACCTGGTGCGTAGCACGTCCACCTAGGATGGCATCCTTGCGAGCGAAAGGCGCACATGGAAGGAATAAGGGCTCAGGGCGGACAGGTGGCCTGGTGATCAGTGGGCCTGTGTTGCAACAGGAGCCAGAGTCCTTCAAGGCCATGCAGTGCATCCAAATACCAAATGGAGATCTCCAGAACTTGCCCCCAGCTGCCTGCAAGAAAGGGCTTCCTTGCTCTGGCAAATCAAGCGGTGAGAGCAGCGCGTCAGAGCACAGCAGCAGCGGGGTGAGCACGCCGTGCCTGAAGGAACGCAAGTGCCATGAGGCCAGCAAGCGCGGGGGCATGTACTTGGAGGACCTAGATGTGCTGGTGGGGCCAGCACTGCGGAATGCAGGGGACCAAAGCCACAGGCATGAGTTTCACTCCCAAGAGAACTTGGTGGTGCATATTCCCAAGGATCACAAGCCAGGAACATTCCCCAAGGCGCTTTCTATCGAAAGCCTCTCTCCCACAGACAACAGCAATGGGGTTAACTGGAGGACGGGTAGCATCTCCCTAGGCAGAGAGCAGGGGCCCGGCGCCAGGGAGCCCACGATCACGGCATCCTGCCACAGAGCAAGCCGCGTCAGCGTCTATGACAACGTCCCGGGCTCCCACCTGTATGCCAGCACAGGAGATCTTTTGGATTTGGAGAAAGACGACCTCATCCCTCACTTGGACGACATTCTGCAGCATGTCAATGGGCTCCAGGAGGTAGTAGATGACTGGTCAAAAAACGTCCTGCCCGAACTGCAAACGCACGATGCCTTGGCTGGGGAACCGGGTTCATCTCCCTTTCCATCTCCCAATCAGATCACCTTAGATTTTGAAGGTAACTCTGTCTCAGAAGGTCGGACAACACCCAGCGATTT